AAAACGACATCACGGACGTTCATGAGTCATCCATATTCGATAATGAGACGAATCAAATTCACCAAGAGCCAAGCATTGTTCAGCATGTTGTAGATTTATTGAATTATTAAATTGAACATATAGCTTGTTGTTATGAATGTCGGGTAAGCCGCTATATTTAATTTGCTTATATCTCAAATATTGTTTAATATCTTTTAATTTCCAGATAGTGTCTACCAAACGAAAAATGATATGACTTTGTTGTTGTTGCTTCTGTCGTTGGTGTACCCGTTTGTTTCGACGTGATTTAGCTTCCGATGATCGTTGTGAATTTTTTATTTTATTAGTTTTATTTAATAAACAAGTAATATTATCCAAAATAATATTAAATATTAATGATGTATGTTTTGCACGAATATGTAATCCATCGACATTGAGATGACTTATTGTGATGGGAAAATTAATTATCGTGAAATTTAACGTATTGGATATATCATATAATTTCGTATTATAATCGTTGATATTCGATGTTAATAAATTACTTGTAAGAAATCTTGTTGATGTCTTTAAACAAGGAAAAATTGTACAAATTGAAATATCAGTCTTACGATTCAAATGGTCATAAGTCGATCGAATGGATTGAGTGATGTTAACAATATCCTGTATAATTTCCGATGCTGACCATGATCGTATAGAATTTGTTCCTACCATAAATATAATTCCAGCACACGTCGATATTATTGACTTTATCGATGTTGACTCGATTAAATTATTAACGCTTAATTCTTGTTGCCAAGGATTGTTCCATTGTAAACCAGAAATAGATTTGATGACAAGTTGATATTGAGCTGTTCGATGGTATGGTGGAAAATATTTTCCATGACTGTCAGATAAGACGAAATACTTTGGAAGATTTTGAATTGGTTGTTCATAAATCATATTAAAATTAATGATATGATTTGTATCTAGAGAGGAAATATCGGTATTCATAAGATAAAAATATAAATCGGTTGGAGCGAAAACATCATTCACTGCATAGGTAGTGAGAGCATGACGGGTTTGTTTGTCATCGATAGTTCGCCAAGTATTTAAATGTGGATCTAAACCACACGACCATAAATTCATTGTCAAAGCTTTATCTAGAGCTTTGTTAAATATCATTTGTATGGCCTTTTGCAAGGACCATAATGCATTATTCGTCTTATACGGACGGATTTCATCTGGACATATACATTGATTAAAATCAGCCTTTGAATCTTGAGGTTTTAAATCATCGTCAATATCATCCGAATTAATTAAACATATAAGGACTTCGTCCGAAGAACAATCGTCTTCCATTACATGGTGACGATTCAGACATGCCTGTATGTGCGGATGAGCAGAATTCCACATCGTGTTAAAGAAATCTTGAAGATTCAAGGTTTTTGTTATTCGTGATATATCAAAAAGACGAAATTGTTCGAACGAATAAAGTTCTTTTATTGGGTCTCCCCAGGCAATAATTTTATTATCAGGTGAAAAAATGTTACTACACATCTGTTGGATTAAACCAAATAACGATGTAGAATAGTGCGGTAAATGTTGTATTTCGATTAATAATACTGTTGAACATGTTTCATAATGAATTGCTTGTATTTGTAATAGAGCAGGCTTAGTATGTGGATTATTTCCTGTTGGTCGATCGGATTCAGTATCGATCATGTATAATCGAACATTTGCCATTTTGCTAATTAGACCAACGAGATGATTTTCTGACGTTTTACCATGGATATAAGTCAGTGAATTATAATTAGCTTCCGTAGATTGGAATGGTTCAATTGTTGACACTATTCGATGATTCAATTGAGCTTTGCGACCTGCTTTGAACCACCGGGAACGTTGTTTGGATGTTAAATGTTCTGGACAATTGTCCATCGTTCGATTGAGAAATCGTTCGTGTGGACGAGCGATTGGTTGATGGTAATAAACGTGTCTACGACCCATTCCAATATCCTCACGACTACTGTCTTCCGAATTAATCGGAGACTGTAAATGAGAATAAGAAGAATTAGTTGTCATAATTGATGAATTACCATAACTAATATGAGTATTAGAAAACGATTGATGCCATGTAGATGGATAATTTCCATGTGACAAAGATGGTATCAATCCATGAGTATTTTGTGAAGGAGAAAATCGATGAGAAGACATAATAGAAAATCGTATTCTAATCGATGAAAGGAAATCTTAAAGAATACCCTAAGACAAAACTTTATATAAACTTTTATTAACAATAGTCCCTTTTCTGATGTTAAACAGAGAGAATAATTATACGAATTGATATTACCACTACTCTGATAATGTTAACCCATGGCGCCAAGGGATTATATTATCAAAACGCATGATAATTTATCTGCATCTACCGAATCTCTCTAATATTTCGGTAGTCGCAATAGTAATGTTATTTAATTAGATAGAATGGGACGTATATCGGCAACGTGTACCCGTGAAGATACCCCGTTGATTTCATCTTCTACTATGTAGACAGGGTGGAAGACCTTAGCAATCACCATCGGTATAGGTGAAAATCTTGGTTCCAGTTTTCCTCTGTTTCCGTGAACTTTTATTAATACTTTGTCTCCTATATTATAATGCGGATCAAAACGATTTCTATCATACCATATCTTATGACGTTGCTGTTGTATTGCAACATTATATTGCACAGCTTGACGATAGATACGCAATGTCTTTCGCAACTGTTCGAAATAATCACTCGACTTTTTAAATGAAAAAGACGACGGTGGTATTTCAATGGGTAAGCGAGGTGAGCGACCAAATAACAATTCATAGGGTGAGTAATTCGTAGTCTTATGAGTACCTGAATTATATGCAAACACTACTGCTTGTAAGTACTCATCCCAATTATTCCCCTGAGTATCTTGTAATTTCGCGATTTGGGGAATGAATGTGGCGTTAAATCTCTCCACAACTCCATTAGTTTGCGGATGATAAGGAGTACTATATATGTGATTGTACCCAATAAGTTGTTTTATATTCTCCATTAATTGATTACGGAAATGGGATCCCTGGTCACTAAGGATAACAGCGGGAATTCCATATTTACAGAAATATTCGTTAAATAGTGCTTGAGCAGTAGCTTCCGCAGTACAAGTCGGTAAGGCTACAGCACTAACAAAACGCGTAAAATAATCCGTAATTACTAGAATATATCTATTTTCACGTGGTGTCTGTTGCAACGGACCACAATAGTCGATTCCAATTAAGAGAAATGGACCGTCAGGAGGAGATATTGGACGTAGATGTCCATGCTTCTTTTGTCGACTAATGTTATATTGCTTACATAAAATACATGATTTTATGTAATTCTTAATCGAAGCTTTCATGTCAGGCCACCAGTACAGATACTTAATTTTATGATATATTCGATCATTAGAAAAGTGTGCTCCTGTCATGGGATCATCATGAGATGCTCTCAGCAAATCTGGAATCATAGATGATGGTAAATATATTACCTCCATCTTTTTTTTAGATCGATATCGAGGAGCAATTAACTTATAAAGAATATCATTCTTAAAGATAAATGACATACTACTATCAGATTGACTATTAAGTTTCTGAACAATGTTGTGAATTGCAGGATCTCTTTTCTGCTCATGTATTATTTTTGATGAGTCGAAGAGATTACATGAAAATTTGATTACTGTTGAATCTTTGGGAGTAATCTTTCTATTTACTTCGACACTAGACTCGTTATTATTATTGTGTTTACTATTTAACTGTTTGGAGCTTGACGCAGGTTGCTTGTGCTTAGTATGAGATCGCAATACCATCGAAGCTAATAATTTTTCTTTCTCACTGTTTTGGAACGAAGACAAATTTAGCGATGTTTTTCCTTGTGATCTTAACACAGAGAAGTTTTCTTTACTCTCCAAACCATATTCTGCTTCAAAGAGTTCATCATTCATTTCATTAGAATATCTCGAAAGGAAATCAGGAAGGCAATTTTCTTTGCCTTTTATATGGATTATCTTTTCAATATTGAACTCCTGAATTAAATGAGTTATACGCTCTACTCGATTATTACGAATAGTTTTGTCCATTATATGACAAAGAGGACAATGATCGGTGCGGAGTATAATGCTACGCCCTAATATCAAATTTCTCATACGATAGAAACATCTATATATTGCTAATGCTTCTTTTTCTATGGTGCTGTATTTCCGTTCACTCGGAGTCATTAGCTGAGAATGATAGTACAAATTATGTAATTTTCCATCAATCTCTTGTTGCAAGACTCCACCGATTCCAATCCCACTAGCATCAGTAGCTAACATCAATGGTACATTGTCTACCGGATAATGAAGAAATAAAGGCGCACTGATTAGTAATTGCTTTAACTCCTGAAACGCTTTTGATTGAGGTTGAGACCATTTAAATTTATAGCGTTTATTCTTAGTTAAATTTGTCACAGCATGTATTGGAGCAGCTTTGGTAGCAAAACCTGGGATAAACTTTCGATACCAACTAAGCGCTCCAATGAACTTATTGGCCTGTGCCAATGTGCGTGGTTCTTTAATCTGAAGTATTGCATCAATTTTTTCTTTCATTGGTGTTATGCGATTCTGACTAATGGTGTGCCCTAAGTAATCTATTTGATTAGCGGCTAATACACACTTTGGAGGATTTAGAACTAAATTCTTTGTCTGTAGAGCTGATAATACACATTCCAAATGTAAAATGTGTTCATCAAATGATTTCGAAAAGATGATGATATCATCTAAATATACTAGAGAGAATGCTCTACAGTTCTTTAACGTATCACTCATCACCTTTTGGAAAGTAGGTGGAGAATTTTTGAGTCCCATTGGTAGGACATTAAATTGGTAAAGTCCAAAAGGTGTCACAAAAGCGGTCTTTTCTTTATCTGCTGGATTGATAGGTATTTGATAAAAACCAGACTTGAGATCAAGTTTCGAGAAAACTTTGTATCCCTGACCAAGCTTTCGAATTGTGTCCTCCATGTTTGGTAAAGGGGATGCATCCTTAATCGTAATAGAATTGAGTTTTTTATAGTCAACTACAAAGCGAAAGGATCCATCTTTCTTTTTCACAAGTATAGCGGGTGCCGCATATGGTGAATGTGATTCAGAGATTAATCCGGCCTTTAGAAATTCTTGCATTAATTGAAACATTGGTTTTTCCTTATCCAGTTGTGGATATGGTTTACATGCAGGAGGCGAATGAGGAACTGTATTAATTACGTGATGGATCGTTGGTTTTGCTATATTGTGTTTACTAATGTCAAAAATATGAGTGAAATTGATTAATACTTGATATAATTTATTCTTATATTCTTTATTTTCAACGGATTTTAACAACTGTTCTATATAGATGTTTGAATTTGGTTTACTAGATACTACGGAATTACAATAAATGCTTTGCATACTAACTAGACTTTTCTTTCCATACATTATAGATGGTAAGAAAAAATTTTGTGAGATATAACTAATCGGAACTTTCTTATTCTGGCTAAAGGAGACTGGTTGCATAACCGGTAAACCGGATGCTTCAAGTGAATTTTTCATTAACTTATTTAAACTAAAATTTTGGTGTTGATTTAAGTTACGTTGAATATATCCAACACAAAAGCCTTTTCTAATAACTTGCGGAAACTGTGTAACATTCATGAACGAAATCTTTGAACAATGATTAGTAAAGTTAAGCAATGTATGAGTAATAGATAAACTACGATTACGACATAAATTATTACTCGGTAATAATACTGAACAAACAGAATCTATTGGTATCGTCGCCTGTGTAGTACGCTTCGAATATGCTGGAATGTAAGTCGATGCTGACAAGATTACAGGTACTGTGTTTACTTTACAATCGGAATTTATAGGCATTGTCAGTATTCTACTTTCATATTCAATCGATATTGTTTGTAATTTAACATTGAAACTTAGATTATATAGATTTATATAATCCATTCCGAGGATTATCGGTGTACATAAACTTTGAGCTACATGAGCTTCAATTTCTGTTTTAACATTTGCAAATTCTAAACATAACTTCACTGTTCCTAATACTGTTAGCGGTGCTACTCCATCCGCAAGAAAAAAAGAGTAAGATTTTCCTTGAATACTTAACGATGGTTTAAAGAAATCTAGTAAATTTTTATTGACAAAAGTTTTAGTTGCTCCGGTGTCAATTAATATTTTAGTACGGTAATTATTAACAAAGGTAGTGAAGAAAATTAGAGATGATTTTGATGGTTTTCTAAAGTTTTTTCCGGAGGCAACACCATCATTCGATACCTCCGATACTAGAAATTTGGACAGACCGGAGTCTCATGTCCAATTTGCTGACATTGATTGCTATCGATAGAAGAAAAAGATTCAAGTGATGGTATTGTATTAGTTGCTGTTTCGCACTGATTGATAGCGTTCGCACTGCTATAATGACTGCTAGGGTTACGAGGAGTACTATATTGTGATGATGGAAATCTCTTAGGAATATGTCGATTGTCATTAGAAAATGTTGGTGGTTGATTAACTCGCACGGAATTAGTAAAGTGCGATTTTTGAGGAAAAGATCGCGCTTGCGAAAACATCGAATTATTAGGATTAGCATAGGTTTGTCGACTATTAAAAGGTCGATAATTATTACTGAAATTTCTCGAATAATCCTTAGCGTAATTCATCGGCTTATTATTAAAATGTGAATTCGCTGCAGTCGACGGAGTAAACGACTGTGCTGATGCTAATGGTCGATGAGTAGATTTCATTTTATTATTATCGGATTTATTATCGCTCATGCTTTCTATTTGACTAGTTGATAAATTTGAAAGTTGTATTAACTCCTCAACTTCCTTAGCAAATTGAAGAAACTCAGTTGTCGATGTTGGTTTCTTCTTTCGCACTTCAAATTGTATAGATGGTTTCGTTTTATTTAACAGATGTTTTAATTTAGTAGTTTCACTCATTGTATTGTCAGCCTCTTTACATAATTTCAATATTTCATTGAAAAAATTACATATCAATTGATTCTCGCCCTGAGAATAAGCTTCGAGTTTCTTGAATGCTAATTCTTCATGAAATGATGAAGTAAAAGCTTTTTTCAACTCTAGTACAAAAACTTTCCACGAAGTCAATGAGGACTTATGATTACGAAACCATGCCAGAGCATCTCCACGTAATGAATAAGACACAAAATCTAATTTAGTAGCATCTTGAATATGTGCTATCTCAAAAAGATGCTCCATCTCTTCAATCCATTGTTGAACATTATCTTTTCCACCTTTAAAGATTTTCGGATTCTTAATTAGATTGTCAATAATCGCTCGTCGTAGATCATTTACAGTTTCATCAATTACAGACGTAAAAGGTCCATTAGAGGTCACTATAGTCTTGTTGACTGGTACATCACCAATAGTATTGGTAGTTCCAAGGTTAACCATAGTTTCTGAATTAATCACTGATGTCTGATTAATGCGACTATTATTATTACTATCATTCACAATTGATTCGTTCGAATTATTCAATACTGTTTTCTGATTTACTGTGGTTCGATCGTTTACGCTTGTATTCTTATTTAGTTGATTGTTGTTCGCACGTTCAACGTTGTCAAGACACTCAAATTGCATTAATAAGAACTCATAGAAATCATCAAATGAGTGAATGTTTTTTCGATTTCGAATATATTGCTGTCGTGCCGCTCCTTCTATTAGAAGTGGAATAGCTTCAAATCTTATTTGGCGATCGATATAGAATGAATTAAATTTATTCTCTACATCATCTAGCCATTGAATAACATTCTGATCTCCAGAAAAGCGAACAAAATTTTTCAAGATAAATGAATCAAGACTTTCATCATTCGAATTATGTTTATCATTGTCTTCTTCAACATTAACGTCGCAATGTGTTCCTAATGTTTTTCTTGATTTTTGATCAAGCAAAAGCGCATCTCCCGTGTCCACAACTTCATCAAGTGTCAGTTGTCGACTCGAATTTACTGCGACACATTGTGAATCAGATTCATTGTCAACTTTCGTATCTTTATTAAATGATTCAAGAAATTTATTTTTCATAGTGCTACACAATGTATTCTCTTGAATTCTTTCTTCGTTATTCATTACTAATTCTGTTTCGTTATGTAATGGTGTATTCATTTCAATATTTATTGCAAATGAATTATCGATGAGTTTCGGTCTATTAGGCGTTGGAATTACTTCTTTTCGTCGATTATTATTATCAAAGACTTTTTTGTTTTGTATCGGATTTCTTGTTGACGATAATAACTGATTGTCAGTTGTGAACTGTGTACTGAATGATTTCGACGAAATCCGCGAAAAAGAAGTACTACGACTTTTATTGTTCATCAAATATCGCTTAGTTCAATTNGCGCCTGAATATAAATATTATATTTGTTTTAATCACAAAATCTAATTCGATTTAATTATTTCTACAAATTTTGTTTTCGGTCAGATTTTTACGTCTGGTCCCCTTCCCGCTCATCTGAAAACAAAATATTTTATTCAAAACAACTATTTGATTGATTATTAATTGATCTACTTTATCTCAAACATCATTCTCAAAGTTTGGAAACTTTTCACATTGTCCACATGGCTTTTGGGGTAAATTTGTTTTTCGTTATCCATGACGGGGACCAGTGGTGAAAATCTGACCGAAAACAAAATTTGTAGAAATAATTAAATCGAATTAGATTTTGTGATTAAAACAAATATAATATTTATATTCAGGCGCATACGAATTATTCTGTTTGAAACTATCAAGTATCAGCCAAGCAGTGACAGAAATTCAATTCCAACACTAGTATTGGAGCGAAAACGCTTTACATTACATCGAGTTTTAAGTTGAAAACTCTTTCAATAGCAAGAGCACATTTAAATACGTATCTGGTAAGACAATCTTTCTGGTAAACTTCGAAAAGCTAGACTTTATAAAATTGAGAATAGCATTATTTCTAACTGCATGACGCAATCGGGGTGGTATTTAGTATTTATCGATAAAACAAAATTTGAATATCTAAGTCGTTCTTATATACTCTGATAGGCAAAACCATTCTGTATCGAAGTGGTCTATTTTCAAACAGTATAAATCGAATATTCATGGGTTTTCAGGTCAGAAACTGTTTTTAAAGCTCTGAGAGACTGCGTCATATCTTTCTTTTTATTCAATGAAATTCAAAACTGAGACAATAATTGTAATCAGAAAGCTTAGCTTTATGAAAATATAACTATCTATATTAAAACCAGAAGAAAAACGTTTTTTCGATCCTTGAGGGGTAGGTACCCCAGATGTTAAAAGTTGATTTTTCATAAAATGCACAGTAAACTCCTAGAAAATAATCGGAATTCAATGATGACTCTTGAGTTAATAACATTAAGTGCAGGTTTTTTAGTGGTCAAGTTTCTAATTTGGCACACCTCTGATTTGATTGTGGAATTAGTGTATTCAGCAAGATTGTGGAAAAATAATGAGTTTAACAGAGAATTAAGTCATCCTGTTGTATACTACTCCTTTATTTTTCTGTAGCTTTTCGACAACTACTAACACCTTTAGCACCTTTCAGCACCTGTTCCCCACCTTCAGTACCTGCTCAGCACCTTCGGCACCTGCTCAGCACCTTCTGCATTTTATAGTAAATTTTGATGCTTGGAGCCAGCACTTTCCCCCTTGATTCAATGATACATTAGGAACATCGACTATTTGCTGTTTCGATAACAAATGATGGCGATGCTGACTAGGGGTGACCATTTATCTTTATTTTCATTTATACTAAAGGATAAAGATAAATATATCATTTATCTTTAGAAAATAAATGATAATTCTTTTTTTCGATCCTTTATCTTTATTAAACAAAGGAAAAATAAAGGAATAAATGATTTTTTTATTACAGATAATGAAGTGGAAAAAAATTCTAAGATCACCGAATGTGTTCTCAAGGAGTTTTTTGCCCATTAAAGTGCTTTTTTCATTGAAAGTACACCAAGTAAGTCAATATCTATTCCGATATGACTTGTATTTTTTAGGATGAGGATTTTTTTATTACATTGATAATTTTATTGAAATGGATCGAAAATGTACATTGTGTAAGGTGTGAATGTGAAGATGTGAATTTGAAAGTCAGATGCATCTATCGTGATTTGCACTACAAACTTTGCAATTTCTTATTGCTATATAACGTTTTCGCTATCGCTGCTGTATCACTACTACCAGATTCTGCCAATAGCTATAGTAAATTCTTGCTGCGTGGCCACCATTGTCGCGTTAATATTCTGGTAATATCTATCGCATGATCGCGGTCTGTGATCATAGTATTTTTGAAATATCATGTGTACAACAACGGATATTGAAAAAGAAAAACGTGGCCTCTCTTGTACGAAATTGTGTGTGTAGTGATAATAGTAGTGGCTATGACAGCGCTGTTAGCGTCGTAAGATGTCGCTGTACGACACTAACTTATTTTTCTTAGACTTATTCGTTTCTTTTCTGTCATTCCTTTTCATAGTAATCGATAGTTGTTATACAACAGATTACGATGCCCTTTTTTTGCTTCTCTCTCCCTCTCTTGCTATGCCTTGTATTTCTTCTTCTCGTTTCGTTTGTTTTATATTTAAAGGCACAAGAGTGATTTCTCTCTTTCTTTCTTTGCGTTGGTTATCTTCTTTTTTGATTCTATTGTTTTTCCGTATACTTTCCATATTTCTATTATTTGTCTCTCTTATTTTTCGTTTTGTTTTCTTTGATCTTCTAAAAGTTTCAGCCTCGTGTTTTGTCGTTATTGCGCAGTATCTTTATCCGTTTTCGATTCTATTGCTCGTTATTGCATTTTATTTAACATACATATATTAAAATAAAATCGAAAAGATTACAATAACTATTATTTATCATTTATTATAAAAGTATGTATAGATCAACTTACATTATAGATAAATAAATAAGTGTAAGATAATACAGAAACATCCCAATTAACATTTTAAAAAGATATAAATTCTCGCATATAAAGAAAGTCTTACATTTTTGGTGGAGAAGTGGGCGTTGATCTAGCTTTGCGCAATTAATTTCTGAAAGAATCATTTGTCGTTCATTGTAATCGAATTGTTATTTTTATAAGTAATTGACAATACATAATTACGTAAATAATTGTATTTGATTAATTGAAATAAGCGATATTTGAAGAACAATAAAAGTCGTAGTACTTCTCTTTCGCGAATTCCGTTTAAATCATTCAGTACAGAGTTCACAACTGACAATCAGTTAATATCGTCAAGAAGAAATTCGATACAAAACAAAAAAGTCTTTGATAATAATAATCGACGAAAAGAAGTAATTCCATCGCCTATTAGACCGAAACTCATCGATAATTCATTTGCAATAAATATTGAAATGAATACACCATTACATAACGAAACAGAATTAGTGATGAATAACGAAGAAAGAATTCAAGAGAATACATTGTGTAGCACTATGAAAAATAAATTTCTTGAATCATTTAATAAAGATACGAAAGTTGACAATGAATTTGATTCACAATGTGTCTAAGTAAATTCGAGTCGACAACTGACACCTGATGAAGTTGTTGACACGGGAGATGCATATTTACTTGATCAAAAACCAAGAAAAACATTTGGAACACATTGCGACGTTAATGTTGAAGAAGACAATGATAAACATAATTCAAATGATGAAAGTCTCGATTCATTTATCTTGAAAAAATTTGTTCCCTTTTCTGGAGATCAGAATGTTATTCAATGGCTAGATGATGTAGAGAATAAACTTAAATCATTCTATATCGATCGTCAAATAAGATTTGAAACTATTCCACTTCTGATAGAAGGAGCGGCACCACAACAATATATTCGAAATCGAAAGAACATTCCCTCATTTGATGATTTCTATGAGTTTTTATTATTGCAATTTGAGTGTGTTGACAACGTTGAACGTGCGAACAACAATCAACTAGGTAAGAACACAAGCGTAAACGATCGAACTACAGTAAATCAGAAAACAGTATTGAATAATTCGAACGAATCAATTGTTAATGAAAGTAATAAGAATAGTCGCATTAATCAGACACTAGAGATTAGTTCAGAAACTACGGTTAACCTTGGAACTACCAATACCATTGCTGATGTACCAGTCAACAAGACTATAGTGACCTCTAATGAACTTTTTACGTCTCTAATTGATGAAACTGTAAATGATCTTTTGACGAGCGATTACTGACAATCTAATTAAGAATCCGAAAATATTTAAAGGTAGAAAAGATAATGCCCAACAATGGATTCAAGAGCTGGAGCATCTTTTTCAAATAACACACATTCAAGATGCTACTAAATTAGATTTTTTTTCTTATTCATTACGTGCAGATGCCCTGGCATGGTTTCGTAATCATAAGTCCTCATTGACTTCGTGGAAAGCTCTCGTACTAGAGTTGAAAAAGGCTTTTCCTTCATCAGTACACATAGCTGCCGATACAAATACAAGTTGTATCACCCATCTTCATCTTATCAATGTTACATTGAATCCACATATATAACCCTGAAAAACCTAGAATTCATGAACCATGTAACGGGATGTAACGGCATCTAACGGTATGTATTGACTTGCATCAAGCCTCCATTACAATATATCGATATAATTTAACCGAGGCTGAATAGCAGCCGATACAAGCCGTCACATGATTGATGAATTCTACGCTTTTCAGTCGTGTATATATCGATACAATGTAACAGAGGCTCAATAAAGGCTCTTACATTCCCATACATGATTCGTGAATTCCAGGTCATTCAGGCGTATATACATATGCATAGAATCCCAGATAGATCCGATGTCGATCGTCGACACAAATTGTATCAGTATCGACGCTCCTCTCGACCCGTCTGACAGTTGAGGGGTCGCACATAGCTGACTCTCGCGATGCATGAACAGCGTTGAATGATTGCCGGTTCCCAGTCGACCCCTCTGACTGTTGAGAGGTCGCACATCGCTGATTCTCGCGATGCATGAACAGCGTTGAATGATTGCCGGTTCCCAATCGACCCCTCTGACTGTTGAGAGGTCGCACATCGCTGACTCTCGCGATGCGTTAACAGGATAGATTGAGGCCTTGATAGCTTGCTTTGGGTTTTGATTGGGTGGGTGCGTGGGTGCGTGGGTGATGATGGTAGTGGTGGTTAGAAAACGTGAAACATAGTGGCGAAGTGGTTTGGTTGATATGCTATTGACTTGGGCGTTGCTATTTGTGGTGACGTGTGAGTGTGACGTGTCAGGGTCGCGTAGAATTTGTTTGGAGGAAAAATGACCTGTTGTGTATCGCTACGGTCTGTTATTCTGTGTTTCGTTGAAAGGGTTTCGGTGTTATTCGAGTTTTTTGTTTTTGTTTTTGTTTGGTGTGTTTTTCTTATGGTAGCGGGAGACATGGTGTTTGGAAAGAATATAGCTTCCCGGGGTGACGGTTTATTCGTCTGTAATCGGTGGTAATGGTGATTTATTGTGAGTGAGGAGTTTTTGGATTGTGTTGGAGCGTTCACGGTTTATTATGGGGTGAAGGAATGACATTGTAGGGAAAGTGTTCGGCTTGATCGGAACGTTTCGGAGACTGCTGTGGTTTTGAAGATTTGGCGTGATTGATGAGTGGATGGTACATCTAGTGTGCATATGCCAGAAATGCAGAACTGTTTGAGTGTAGTGATGTGGACGTCGGAACGCATAGAATTACGTTTAACGTAAGAAGAATAGGTGATGTGTAAATTTTCTCTTTAAAAAAAGTTTCAGAGAGGATTTGTTAGAGTTTTGCGTTGTTAACGGTTTTTAATTGTATCGATTGCGATCAAGATTCTAGTGCTTCACAAGGCACGAGCTTGATTGGATGAAATAGTCGAAGCAGATGTTTTTGTTTTGTGTTGCGATGTTTTGTTCTATGGTATAAAGGAATTCAGAGAGTTTTTTTTTGTTGTGTCTGCCACGGCATGATGGAATCATCGGGCCCTACGCGCACCTCCTAAATTGAATGATTTTTTTTATTGCTTGTTAACTAGAGATGTTAACAGTGGATAGAATCGTGCGCTTGTATTTTAGCATGTATGGTATTTCTTCGGTCGAATAAGGTGTCATAGGATATCGGCTTGGATAAAGCAAGAAAAAGATTGTTCTCAACGTTTCGGTTTTCATGAACTGAAAAATAAATTTATAGACATTGAAGAAAGATTTCCCAAGTGGAACTCGCATATATTTCCCTGGTAATATATTCGAGTTCCACATTTCAGCCCCAACGGGGCTGAGCTGAGAAGCCTGTTAAGATATATGAAGATTTTTAAAAGTATTAGAATTAATTATGGATGATTTGTTTTTATAAATATGCACTTTTTTTAATAACAGCAGGATTAAAATATCTGAAGGTGATATACTTTCAAGAACTCACGTGTTTGTCTAGAGAATTATAAATTTCTTTTCAAATCTCTTGATGTTTCTTACCCCCTAAAATGTTGCTGTTCAGAAATAATTGAAGGTAATAGTATTCAGGTAAACAAATTAAAAACCAATGCAAGCTAGTTCTAGTAGAAAAATTTTCACATAGTACTTAATTTTTATTTTTGCGGGAGGCTCTCTTATCGGAAGTAGCAGGTAGTCAGGTAGATTTCGAATGGATTTCTGGGATCACAGAATGCGAGACCCATGGGGGCGATCGTGTTCTACATATGATGGACATTTTTACTACCTTCTTTATACACGATTTTTTTGCCAGGATTTCAGTGATGTTTTTAGTCGACCTGAAAATTCCATTTTTTAAAGGGTTGAAATGCATGAATTTTCAAAAGAATCTATATATATATATTTTAGGTGCTGGACTAACAGCGAGATGATATCACCACAGAACGCAGAAAAGATAATCCATTCGTGGGATTCGAATCATACATCCTCTGCTGTCCGGGCAGATGTACTACCGTTATATTAGAAAAGGCCAATTAATCTCCGTTTATAATTGTAGGGGAACACTACAGTGCTCACAGTTTTAACATGTAAATATTGTAACGCGCTCAAATATGTTCATAAAATCGTAACAATGACAGTTTTACGGTGTCCTATCAGTGAAAGACGATTTTAACGAAATTTTAATCGATGTGAACTCGTTTTTTAAGTACTGCTCTGACTGGGACGCGAACTATCGGACTTCCTAGGTCTTATTTTTCGTATTGTTCGGGACATAGAAATGACTAATAAGTAGCATACGTGGGTAGATGGTTAAATACGGTTTTACATCAAAGGCTTACCGCTTCTTCTGCAATCTATCGTGGTTAGTGTTATTGATTAGGCACGGATGCAACTAAATGTACTCCTGTCAATATTCCTCTTGCAAATAGTTACAGGAAATCTGCGAATGGCTTTCCGTATGGAATTGATCCTTCTAATATTTTTAATATTATAAGTAGGAATGTGACAGTATGAATATTATCAATCTCATCTAACGGTTTCGGTTTCTGATAAATGAGAATAAATATGCTAGATTCAGGAAGGCGAAGAGTCTTTGATATAAAAGCATTGTGTACTATCTATCGCTTGCCATTAAGTATTGATTTATTTGGCCCGGAGAATACGAATCAATACATCCGCGAATTCACGGTAGTGGATATGGTGATACTGGTAGTAACCAACTGGGGTGTGACCGAATACCAGAGAGTACTGTCTAGGGAACCGCCCGAAGTGATTCAAAGTTTTTAAAGTGACATTTTGCCGATAAATAGGGTCCAATGATACTAGACAAAGCTCAAAGGGACAAGGATCCATGGGCCTTTCTTCTCGACTTATGGTCATTTTACTGGGTTTACCACCTTTGATACGATATTCACCGAAAAATCAAATTGCAGATTTTCGACCTGAAATTTTGCGCACATGCAAGTCTTGTGATCTGTATACTAGTCTGAAGCTTTCAGCCAAAACGAATGCGCTGTTCTCGAAATAATAAGCTTTCAAGAAAAGTCGATTCTGACAGTATGTATATGTCGTATCGAAGTTACACCGGTCGACGAAGTTACAACTTCGACGCTCATAGTTATCGAAGTTATTTTTAATTCACTATCAATAAATAATTTACCAAATTGAATATTCTGATGCTGAATGTATGTTAAAAAATTAAGTTTTTTCCAACAAATACTCATTTATTTAACGATAATCCGTATTGAAAATAAAATACAGTGCAAATGAAAATGAAATGTTTTAGCCATTTTTTTAATCGATAGNCTCATTTATTTAACGATAGAAATTATTCATAAATTACGACAAAAACATGAATTATCACCTTAAAGTTTCTTCATCTCTATTTCAGTTGGTTTCCAGCAAAATTTCGGAGATAGATCGAACTCTTGCAAATAATAGACCTTGTTTTATGCAAAATACAACATGAGAATAAATGTTGAAAACAAATTACGTATGGTAATAAGATAATGATTAGTTAGTTTATAAATAAAATCAAGTCACTTGCAAACTTTTCCGTAATAAATACGTATGTTGTTGATATCTTTAAGTTCAAAGTGATGCCAAAAATACAAAGGTTAATCCAATAAAATTACTTAAAAATTTAAATGTATAACCTAACACAGTCTTAATAAGGAGATTATATTTGATAAATCTATTTTAATTGTCAATTGACGAACATATGTACCAGTTAAAATAATAAATCGTTCACTTGTTTGTCAACATAAATAAAAAACTTAATTTTCATCCATCAACTACACTCAGCATTTCACTAAATGAAAGCTTTACTTGAATCAGCTACTGCCGCAATTTGTGCTATTAATGCTCATTCAGCATCAGAATATTCAATTTGGTAAATTATTTATTGATAAGTGAATTAAAAATAACTTCGTCGACCGGTGTTACTTCGATGCGACATATATATATATATATAGTTTCTTTCAAAATCTCTATAAAATAAAAGAGTATGAAACATGATAGAATCGCACTTAGTTCATGATTGCTCGCTTTCATTCTCTTGTGAGAGTGCAGAGAAGACCCACACTCATGCGTGCATCTATATCCACATCCACACCATACCTGCACTCAAGCTCAAACCTTTTGTAATTTTGCGAACAAAAGCTCTCGAAGTCTTTTCCCACATCAAGAGCTGTCAAATTTTTGAAACTTTCTATATTAACTACATTGGGCATAGCTCCTTGAAAATCGATTGTTTGTCATGGATGCAATAGAGAATCATCAAGACGCAATAATCTATAGTCAAATTCTGGAATGATCTTTTAAATTTATTCTAGATTAAATAATCATCAATATAATTAACTACGAAGAAAGAATTTATCAATGGCTATTTTCAAAACTGGTATTGCGGTTTGTAGTGGATTTTCGCCATTTTTCACTTGCGTATAAATTTTAGTTTCTTCATCTGACAACATAGCTCGAGCTGTTCCTGTACCAAGATCGTCAAGAATTTCAATAGCACCATAACCGAGTTTTGTCCAAAAGTCAAGATTATCTTTGTATAACTGTACCAGTTTACCCTGTGATTCATCATCCAATTTTGTAATAAGAATTTTTCGTAGTGTATTCATATTCATTTTTGATACACGCATGCCTAAAACTTCATCTGATTTTGAATTGATTGGGATGATGTAAGCTTTCTTCGGTTCACATTCAATTGCTCGAAATCGGCCTGATGATGATCGTGATACTCCTACCGATCGACCACCTAACAGTGCAATGGCCTCCCGAAGAATATCTTTTTGTTCAGATTTAGGTATGAATGGCCATTTGGTAATAACGAAAAGAAGAAGGATTCCATTTTTTCGTATTTCATTAAACATGTATTTAACGACCTCATTCGATCCTAATGAATTAGCCGTGCGACAAAAGATCGCAACCTTCGGCAAAATTTTACGATCATAAAAGCATTGCTTGAAAAAGGTTTTTGCTGTGTCCACCGACCAATTTTCGAAGCCTGCAATTCAATCCAAAACTTAGTTGACAAAATTTTGAGAAACCTTTTTTTCGAGTGAGCATTATATAATGACACCTCAATATTTAAACAAGCTATTCTAAATGATAGAAAGGATGATTACCTGGCGTGTCCCACCATTGAATATTAAATTTATCTAAATACTTCTCAGAGGTTGTGGTACAGGCATTCATTTGAGCACTTGTCATGATTGATTCATCACCGGATACTTCTTTGATCAACGTCGATTTACCTACTCGTGCAGGTCCGAACACAAGAATTTCAAATTCTGATGACAACTTTTGAATTCCTCTCGCAGTGGCAACATTGGTCCCATACGATGATACTTTTGAATGAAATTGAACAAGTTTATCCTTCAAATATTTAACCCAATCAAGTTCTTGTTGCTCCCGTCCTTGCCCATGTCGTCTCTTTTTTATCAACTGTGCCGCAGTTACGCGCAGCGCCAATTTTGCGTCGCAGTTACGCGTAACTATGGCG